CTCTCTAGTCAAAATTGTCTTAAATAAAATGCTTCATTTAACAGTGGTAGGGCGTTCGCCTTACAAGCGGCCAACATGGCCGATCCGAGTTCGATTCCTCCGCCCCTCTCGGAGAGCCCAGCAAGCTACCGAGAGTATTCGATATGCCAAACACAGTAACAACAAAGTCTCCAATGGAGACGTTACTGGGCCCGCTCGAGCAATCAGAATGTAACCATAGAAAAAAGGTCTATTAATATTAGTACTTAGTAACATTTAATTACAATCAACTGAGTTTGGTCATCTTCAATGAGTTTTTTATTCTTTCCTTCCTTGATCACTAAACCCAAATTAATCTAGTTAATATTAAGATTCTTCTCCAATATGATTATGTTCAGGAAGCAGGTAGAAACTGCTCATTATGTATAAAGCATTTACTAGGCAGACTACAACTTTTTTAACAAAGTTTGTTAGAAAAAGATTTATTGCTTTTCAAAAAAGATGTCATCAGTTGAAGAAGAAAATCAATTTATGTCCTTGAAAAATCAAAAAGAAATAAAAGTATATTAAGCATGACTGAAGCAATAAAAAAATTCTTAATCATTACATTGAGAATGTAGCACATTTGTAAATGTATTTATTTCACTTTGCCTTAAGTAAAGAACTAGTTGACAAATTCTGATATAAACAGATAAAGGCCAATGCTTAGGCACTTACTAGGTACCAAATACAAGCTAAGTACTTTACATACATTATGTCATTTAATACTCGCATCCAATTTAAGAAGTTATTACATTCACCATTTCACAAATGAATAAACTGAGGTTCTGAAATTAAATAACTTGTCCAGAATAACTTCATACTCAGCCTGTTTTCAGAATCTGTTCCTAACCACCATATTAAAAAAGAAAAACACATGGGACCAGAGGAATAGTGATTAGGGCACATGCTTTGCATGTGGCCAACCTAAGATTCAATTTCACCACGTATGACCCCACGAGGCCCAGTGAAAGTGATTCCTGAGTGCAGAGTCAAGGGTAAGCCCTGAGCTCCACTGGGTGTGGCCCAAAAACCAATAAATAGGTAAAGTCTAAAATCAAAATGTTCTGTTTCTTATGCCTAGGTACAATGTCAAATATAACAAACATTTGTTTGCAGTGAAGTCTGAAAATAGAGGGAGGAAATCACTTATACACCTCTTACCCTTTGAAATTTTAATCACTTCTATCAGTCTCTGGTGCTTTAAATTTGATAGCCACTTTCACATATTTCTGGAAATAAAAAGTGCTGTTCACATCACAAGGATAGTTTATATGCTTTTGTTCTACATTAGGTGAACAGTACATCGAGAATACAGAAATCAGGACTAAACAAAGACAGAAATCTGAGGGTACAAGCCACAAACACCACTGCTAACCTCCTCTGATATCTGTTTTCTCTCATTTCCAAGTGAAGAATGCTGAGTATCTGGGGCCAGAGATTAAGTAAAGTTTGGTGGGGTGCTTGCATATGACCTGGGTTTGATCCCCTGCATCACATATGGTCCCCTGAGCCCACCAGGAGTGATCCCTGAGCAAAGAGCCAAAAGTAAGCCCTGAGCACTGCTGGGAGCAGCCCAAAAACAAACAACTTGTTGTGGGTAATTCTAACACTTTTAAACTCACATTCAATTATTTTATACCAGTGATACAGTACCTGTCTTAGTAGTGGTCCATGGATTGCCAGTTATAACTAAAGTAGGAAACTAATGGTCTTCAACCTCTCTACATGTGCTAGTGGTTATAGACAAACCATGGCTCTACATTATGAAGCTACAATCTGGATGGAACAGGCACATCAGACTGGAATCGTGGAGAAATTATTAGAAATTCTAGTAATTCCTACTTATTAGGCAAAAACTTAATACTTATGTGTTAGTCACACAACTCTAGTGGAAAACACTTTATGCATTAACATTAGTTGAGCACATGGTACCTCTGTAGGATTTTAAGTTACACATTAGATTTTAGGTACACAGTATACATAGTAAAAGTTCTTCTTGAAAAGATGTTAGATAATTACTAAGTTAATCTACATGATCTTCTGAACTGAATTCCTGCATAATAAAAAGCAATCTAGAATATTCACATAATTCAAATATCAAATATAGTTTATAGTATCACAAAAATTATTCTTTTTCCCTTTCAGTTATTTATGGAGTTTGGAAGACCTTTAATACCTAAATAAATAGTTAAAAAAAAAAAGCTTATGTTGGGTTGGAGAAATAGTACAGGGGTAGGGCACTTGCCTTGCATACAACGGATCCTGGTTCAATCTCAGGCACCACTTACTGTCCTCTGAGCACAGCTACTGGGTATGACACAAAAACTAAACCAAAGAAACAAAATACATGAGGCGTTCTAATTACACCTAACTACAAATTCTGGTGCCCGCTTGAGCAAATCGATGAACAATGGAAGGACAGTGACAGTGACCAATTCTGTGGGCTGGAATGATAGCACAGCAGGTAGGGAATTTGCCTTGCACACAGCCGACCCGGGTTCGATTCCTCCATCCCTCTCAAGAGAGCCCGGCAAGCTACTGAGAGTATCCCACCCGCACGGCAAAGCCTGGCAAGCTCCCTGTGGCGTATTCAATATGCCAAAAACATTAACAAGTCTCACAATGGAGACGTTACTGGTGCCTGCTCAAGCAAGTCGATAAACAATGGTACGATGGTGCTACAGTATTACCAATTTTGTAGTGCATATTTTTGGTGGGGTAGAGAAGGTAACACTTCTTCAGCTGTGCTTGGGATTCTGGGAGCCATTCCCAGCAATACAGATTCTGGTAATACAGATCTGAGGATTGGATGTTTTGTCATGTGCCGTCTAGAGCTAGCCCATTTAAGTTGCCTCCCTAGCTCTCATTTTGCAGTTTTAAGATACTTTTTATTGTGGTCTGCAGTTTTCAAACTTTACAAAGAATAAAAACACAAAATTTTTTTGTTAGTGAACAACTGAGTTTTTTCAAATGACACAATTTACTGTGATGGAAATGTATTAATTTCAAAAACAACATACAAAGCTCTCAGATGAATGAAACACTTTCGTCAACTAAGGTTCGTGTTTACAAAATTATACCCATTTATAATTATAAATTATTATAAACTATAAAAGATGGTGTTTAATGATAAAGCTCCTAAAGTTGATGATCTTCCTAAAACGATCGTGTCAAGGGCAGCTTTAAAGATGATTATAAATGTCTTTCCCTGGTGAGAGGAGTTCAGGAAAGAAGTAAATTATTTGAAATTATAAATGAAAGTTAAGGTCTTAATAAGTCCACTAAGGCATTTTATGCTCAAAACCATGACTAGAAGGAAAAAAATTAGTGGGAGAGTAGATTTCAATGAGAACAAAAATAAAATAAGGTAGCATTAAATGACCACTGATGAAGAAGGAGCACACAACCACAAAAATACATGGATTTCTGGAGACTGGGAGTCTCTAAAGGGTAGTCTGGGTTCCGGGTTCTTGTCTATTGTTTTGTTTTTCAGCGACACCTTATGGTACTCAGAAGCTACTTCCCAGCTCTGTGCTCAGGGTTGCTCCCAGAGTAGTCAGTGGGTCATGCAGTAATGAGGATCAAATCTAGGCCTCACGTATATGAAGTATATGCTGTGGGCTGGAGTAATAGCACAGCGGGTAGGGCGTTTGCCTTGCACGCGGCCAACCCGGGTATATATAACTATCCCAATTCTTCCCAAAATGTTAAAATCAATTAAACATAGGCACAGAAAACACAAGAGGAAAACCAAATATTTGAGGAAGTACACTGTACATCACCGCTTGCCAATGAATAACAGATGAGCCTTGACAGAGACTGTGAACTGTCATCAGTGAGGTTTTCTTCCACTTCAGCCAATTTGCTTAGATGGCTAGCTACCCATAAATTCTATTTTCTCTTAATTCTGGGAGAAAAAAATTAGTATATTCAACATTCAGAACTATGACCTTTTAAAGTTGCAATCTCTCTCCCCCTCTCCGAGGTTTCAGGGTTTGTTTTGTTTGGGGTGGGAGTTGCTTTGTTGTTGTTTGAGCCACACCCAGTGCTGCTCAGAGCTCACCCCTGGTGGGGCTTGGGGTAACATATGTAGTAGAGGGATTGATCCCAGGTTTGCTATGTGCAAAAGTTATCTCTTTACCTAACTGATTTACTGGATAATCTGGAGGCAAAGCCTTTAACTTTACTGTGAATTCTTTTGTCTAATTTTCAGGCTCTCGATCTCAGTTTTTTAAGTTTCTAGTTTTAAATGATAAAACTAGAATTTTAAATTTTATCATTTAAAACTAGAAACTTAAAAAACCTTCAAACCCTTCAGTATACAATACTATCTTAAGCTTTTTTTCTTTTAAATGCCAATCAAGAAATTTATATGCTTCCAAGAGACCAGGCCACAGAGTATCTGAGAGAAAGTACTGATGACCCCTGGAGCAAGAATAAAGGTGTAGATACTGAAAGCTGGGACTCAAAGCCAGTGTCTTCTAGTAGAAATACTTGGGGCCGGAGTGGCAGCAAAGAGGGTACGGTGTTTGCCTTCCATGAGGCCGACCAGGGTTCAATTCCCAGCATCCCATATGGTCCCCTGAGCACCGCCAGGAGTAATTTCTGAGTACAGAGCCAGGAGTAAACCCTGTGCATCGCTGGGTGTAACCCTTTAAAAAAGAAACTAAAAAGTAGAAATACTTAAGGCGTATTTCAGGCTCCTTAACATAAATAAAATAGCACTGTAATTAGTCCAAACAGACAAAAAGAAAAAAAAAAACACTAAGATTATTCTTCCATTGTGAAAACAAAAAAAATCTCCCAAATATGTTAATTAATAAAAAAGTGAATCTACTATAAAGGCATTAGGTATTCAACTATATTTCCATGAAAATAAATTGGTTTTCATATTTCTTAAGAATAAGAGTTTGTATGGAAAAGAATGTTCATTTATCCAAAATATTTTAAAAGTTTGAGTCAAAGACTGATAAACTTACTCTAGATGAGTCGTATGATGGGCTTGGTTGACCACTTGTTCCCCAGGATGTTGTACTTCCTCGTTCATCCATTCCTAAGGAGAGAAGGAAGGTAAATGTAAAAACCCAAAAGAACACCATGATGGACTTTTAGGGTATGCTACACAGAGCACAGCATAATTTGGTGAGTGGTATTCGCAACTGCATGAAACTGCCCATATGCCCATCCTTGTCTCAAAAGACTAGGAGTATCTTTATTGTTCCTTATAAGGACCTATATTGTACAGTATTTTAGAACAACACTATGTCTGTGGAGTCTTTAGAGGCATAATCTAAGTCCTTCTCAGTCTGCTCCACTACTCCTTTCAGGACTAGATAAACCAACTCCCCAAGTTTCTATAGTTTAGTACTATATATATGAAATTATGAAAATCTTGGCTCACAGATAAGTCTTAGAAGATGAAGGAAATCAAATAACTGTTTAATTAATGAAAATAGTCTCTATCAGACAGTAACTAAATGCTCTTAACCAAATACATCAAACTAGATCAAACTGTAACAACACTAGTCATATCAAAATTAATCAAAGTGACACAGTAACTCACCCCAGAAAATCTCTAAAATTATACACAAATTGAACAAATAAGTAGATTCATTTTTTTCAAAGAAAAACATATGGAACTAGTATGTTCAACAATAAATATTCAGAACTTTTGGCTTTATTATTTTCATATTCCAATCAGCCCATAGAAAAAGTTGTTAGAGATCTCTCAAAACAGTCATTTCTGTTCTGATTAACAGTCTATTTTATCTTGTCCTAAGAGTACTTGCCCAACCCCTTCCTATGATCAAATATAAGTAAAAAACTTCTTTGTTTTATTCTGGTGTTAAAAAAAATGGATTTTACCAAGACAGCATTTTGCTAAATTTGGAACCTTAGCTCAGAATATTAAAAAAATTTCTGCTGCAATACAGATGACAGAGTGGCTTGCAATACGTCACAGAATAAGTCGAAATTCCCAAGACGTTTCCATAGGGAGCAAAATGCTAACTGAAGGTCTAAGTGACAAAAAGGAAAAGCAGAGTCAGTTTCCAAAGTAGAATCTATTACTAATTCAGTTAGAAAGACACCAATTTTTTCTCTTCATGAATCTAAATTCTTAATCAAGTAATGAATATTTTAAAAGTTTTTAAAATATTGTAAAGAAAATACGAGTATATCTTCAGGCATAATTTCAAGTAAATCAGAACTCTAAACAGATATTTTATGTAAAATATAGTTTAATTATTCTTGAAGAAATCGTATATAAGTTCTAGAGTTTTGAAAAGATTCTAAAACTTTAGAGCGCATCGTACTTCGATAAAAAACATAGTTTGACCTCTCCAGTATCATTAGTTTACTATAAGTGATTTTCCAGACATTTTGTTGACAATATGAACTGCATAACAGGATTCCTGAAACTAAATCAACAGAAAAGCTACTACTAATCTTCGAAACTCACTAACTAAAAAAACCATACTTTCTATTTGCACTTAGTTTACTATATGAGTTAAAATTATACAGTCAGAGCCAGAGAGATTGTACAGCAGGTAGAACACTTGCCTTGAATACTGCAAACCTGCTTTAGATTTCTGGCACCACATATGGTCTCCTGTGTCCCGCCAGGACTGACCTCAGCACAGCCAGGAAGGGCCCCTACACCTACCCAACTGAATAAACTGAAAATAGACTTAAAAAATTACTTAGAGTAAAATATAAACATACAGGCTACTGAAAGTGGAGTCTCATATGTATACAGCCATGTCACAGCAGCATCATTTATAATAACCTACCCAAAAGGGGAAACTGACCCAAGCGTCTCCTGCTGGATGAGTGAATTAAAACATGGCAGACAATCATGTGATGGAAAGGAAAAAGAAAGATTCTGACATGCGTCACAAATTGATCATTATATGAGCATCATACTGTATAGCTACATAAATCTAATGGTATAACCTACTACATACCAAAAGCGATACAGTATAGTTTACTAGAACATTGTTTTATATATCATGTCATTTATCAAAACACCATTAAGATACATAACCACAAAATCTATAGTGAAAATTATCCAAACATAACAAAGAAAGAATCTGATGTAACATGGATTAAAACCAAGGTTATTAAGTTAAGTGAAATGAGCTATAAAAGGGCTACAGGCTGCCTTTTTGTTTTTGTGGTAATTTATTTTGCTGGGATAAAGTCTTTGAATTTGATGTAGTTCTATTTGTTTGTTCTTGTTTTCATTTTCTTTGCCAAAGAAATTGAGTCTCAGATATCTATGATGCCAGAGTCGAGAGTTTATACCTTTTAAATGTTTTGTGTTTGGGGGGTGTAATTCCCAAGTCTATAACTTAAAGTGAATTTTGTTTTTGTGTATGGTGCAACAGTTTAGGTTTTCTGTATATAGTTTTCCAGTTTTTCCCATCACTATTGAAGAAGCTTTTCTTTTTCCAGTGTATAGTACTGGCCATTGTCATAGATTCAATGTTCGCGTATGTGTGTAGTTATTTCTGGACTCTGTTCCATTCCATTGATCTAAGTATTTTTCTCTATCCCTATCCCTATGTTTTAATTACTTTTGCTTTATAATAGTTTGATTTCAGGGAATATGATGCCTCCATTACTTCCCTCCTCAAAATAAGATTATTACATAAAATGCTAAATTAAGCCCCCAAATTATGAGTATTACACATTAATGGTAATGGACCTGGCAAAAGGTTCAAAGAATGTTTAAAACTGGAGGCTCCCAAACTCATCTGGTGTATGGGGGGGAAAATCCACTCAGTTTCCTTAGAAATTTATCTCTTTCAAGCCAACAAACAGAAAGTAGTGTGCCATGCCACCACCCCCTCCTCCAATTCTGGCCCTACTACATCTGAGGTTTATACTGTTCCCCTCGGTCATTGCAGTGAACACTCAGGGTGGTAGTTTTGTCCACCTCCAGAAACAGTTACTCTAGAGTTTAAACTCAGAGCTCTATAGTTTTATTGTTACCATATCCAGACTCTGAATAGAAGGTTGTGGCTGGCACTGACAAAGGCAAAAGTCATTTTTTATTATCAATGACTCTATTCTGTTAAAAACAATAACTATATAAATACAGCAATATGACAGAAATGATAAACTTTCCAAGGCTTCAACCATGAACTATGGTAGGCAGGTAAAGAGTAAACAAAATACAGAATACAAACTGATCAAAATTTGAGGACAATTATCAACAAGAATAAACAGCATAATTACAATATGTTAAAATTAAGGAAAATTAATTTCTATTAGAATACACCTGAATCATCATTTCCAATTATCTTCTTTTCCCATTTCTAGTCTATTCATATTAATTTAACAATTTCTGAGACACTAACTCTTCAATAGATCGACTAAATTGTTTATGTAAAGCTTAGCAATAATTAAGTGCTAAAACTCTGTGGTCTCAGGGCTGAGAGGCAGTACAGCAGCTCGTGAACTTTGCATGCTGCTGACCTGAGTTGAATCACCAGCACAATGGCCTTCCAAGAAGATCCCTAAGCAGAGCTGGGTATCCCCCAGAAACAAAAACTTCTGGTATTTATTGACTTTCTAATTATCAATCTATTTTTATTTAACAAGATTATCAATACCTTCTCCTACTTGACACTATCAAAACCTATTAAGAAAAACTGCCCGAGAGACTGATAGCAGGTTAAGAAAAAAAAAGGAATGGGGGAAACAGTTTCAATGGTAGTAGAGAATCCAGTGAGCTGAAAGGGTCAAAAAAAAAAAAAAAGAAGAACAGTAGTTAGAACACCTGCAGCAAAGCTGCTCAAGACAGTGACTCTGCTTGGTTCAGAGGTCTATCATTATAGAAAGGGAAGTAAAGATTTGGTGGAAGAGCACTAGGCTTGTCCTCCTGCCCCTTTTCCTTTCCTTTATCTCTCCCACTTCCTTCCTACACATCCCCTTCTCCTTCAAATACACACAACCTCTGGTAGTATTGATATAAAGTTTTTCATTCCAGCAAGTAAACTGCACTCCCCAAATATCAAATCCTAACACTGGTATAAAGGAAGGACACTGTCTTTTGCAGGATGCCATCTACTACAGGGTGATTCAATAAATGATCTGATGAGAAAAAAATTGATTGGCAATAACTATATCAGAAAGCCTGACCCATAAATATCTATCTTCGATAGCTTTTATCTTATTATCATGTCAGTAATGCTATTCTGTTAGATAAAACTCAAAGGCTGCAATGAATAAATAATATTCACCTTTTTAAAAAACATCATCAGGGGGTTGGAGCGATAGCACAGTGGGTAGGACATCTGCCTTGAACGCGGCCAACCCGGGTTTGATTCCCAACATCCCATATGGTCCCCTGAGCACCGCCAGGAATGATTCCTGAGTGCAGAGCCAGGAGTAACCCCTGAGAATTGCTGGGTGTGACCAAAACAAAAAACCAAAACAAAACAAAAAACAAACCTTTCATCAGTTCTTACGGGAATTTAACAGGATATGTTTCTTTATAAAATGTATATATGATACTTTAATAGAGATTTTACTTATAAAAAATTGAGATTTTGTCTGGAGAGATTTGTATAGGAGGTAAAATAACTGTCTTGTGTGTGATCATTTTTGGTTCTATCACTGGTGCCACATGTGATGTACCAAGCTCTTCCAGGAGTGACCTCGGACATAGCCAGATATAAGCTACAAGTACTACTAGATGTGGCCCAGAAAAGTAAAATAAACAACAACATCAAAGTTCTGTACAATCAGAATGTCAAATAAAATTTTTTACATATAAATAAGACCAGCAAATGATTAAAAGAATTGACTTTGCAGGAAAGTTTTGGAAATTTCACTTGGTATCATTTCCTGACAGCAAATATTTTACAAGTAGGAATATTCTAGTTTGAAGCATACTAGAATAAGGCAATAAACACATGACTAATTTTCAGTAACTAATTTTAAAAATGACTTCAATCACACAGTAAGCTTGCTGTATTTTGCTATGTGATAAACCACACCACTACAAAAATATGCTCCAAATACACAATTAAGTGAGACATTCCA